TAGCCTTTAGCTAACTGCAGGAATCATCAGGTCTCGGGGGCAGCAGCTTGAGCAGGGAGGTCCAGACTCTTCCAGCTCTTCTGGGAGGATCACAAGGAGATCCCAGATAAACCGAGAGTCATAGTCTCTCCAGCGTGTCCGGGGTCTCGTGGAGCATCCTTACCAGAGGTTAGGGAAAAGGTAAAAGCTGCAGACTTTTACTACTGCCTGTGTACTACTTTCAGTAGATTAGTTAGTTTTACTACAGTTACACAAGTGGTGCGAGAGTTTGCTTCTCACAGCCGGTAGTGTCGGACCCTCCAGGGTGGGAGTTGGACCCTCCAGGGACGCTCACTGTCACCAGTTCTGTTCAAAACTTTTATGGACAGAACTTCTCGGTGCAGCCGGGGCAGGGGGAGTCCAGGTCGGTGGTCTCAGGATCCATCTCTGCTCTCTGCAGATGATGTGGTCCTGTTGGCGTCATCGTGCCGTGATCTCCAGCTCTCACTGGAGCGGTTCTCAGCCGAGTGTGAAGCGGCTGGGATGAGAACCAGCACCTCCAGATCTGAGGCCGTGGTCCTCAGTCTGATTGTTCTCTTCAGGTCCAGGGTGAGGTTCTGGCTCCAGTGGAGGAGTTCAAGTATCTCAGGGTTTTATTCACGAGTGAGAGAAGAACGGAGCGTGAGGTTAACAGATGGATTGGTGCAGCTTCTACAGTATTGTGGACTCTGTGCCGGTCCGTTGTGGTGAAGAGGGAGCTGAGCTGTAAGACAAAGCTCTCTGTTTACTGGTCGGTCTACGTTCCTCCCCTCCCCTTTAGCTCCTATTAGCTTATAGCTAGCCTTTGAGCACTTTTAGCTCGCCTAATGCTACTCTTTTTTTTTTTTCATTCAACCTTTATTTATTCAGGTAAATCTCATTGAGCCTCGAGGACTCATTTACAAGAGAGACCTGATTTTAACAAAGAATCACGACAACAAGAGAAAGTTATAAAAAGGCTTACAGATTTTTATTTATTTATTTTTTATACAAAAAAAACAAAGTAAGAAAAACAGCTGGATTACAAGGTGAATGTAGAAAACTAAAAACAGGATCTGCACTGCATTAATCTTAAGCTATTTTTAGTTCAGGCAACCTTCTGCTACTTTTATTTGGCTTTTGGGTATTTAAACTTTAACCTTTTGTTGCTTTCAGCTGAACTTTTGCTACATTTAGCTATCCTATTAAAACTGTAGCTTGACTTTGTTACTTTTAGCTAGTTCTTAGCCACTTTTAGTCACTTGTCTTTTGCAACTTTTAACCACCATTCAACTAGTTTTATTTATTAACTAGCCTTTTAATTATTTTTACTTGTATCTAGCCCTCTCCTACTTTTAGCAAGTGTTTGTTAGTCTTTGGCTATTTTTAGCTTCGGCTACCCTTTTGTTAGCTATATTTAGCTCTTAGCTCCTTAAGATTTAAGCTAATGATGCTTTTAGCTTGCCTTTTTACTATGTTTAGTTAGTCATTTTCTACTTTAGCTATCCTTTTGCTACTTGTCTTTGGCTCATTTTAGCTAGGCTTTTACAATTTTAGCTAGCCTGTTAGCGTTCTGCTGCTTTTAGCTTTTAAGTAGCTAATTTACCATTAAGTTTTCCTTTTTCTATTTTAATACTTTTGACTTGCAGCTATTCTTTTTCCAACTTATAGCATGGCTATTGCTAGTCTCCAATTTAGCTATGTTTTGAGTCTTTTAGCTTTTAGCTATGTTTTTGCTACTTTTAGCCTGTTAATGTTTACACATCACGTGGCACACACTGGAGGGAGGAGAGAGCAAGTAGGTCTCTCTGCAGACAAATTCAGAAGGCGTATCTGGAGGGCCACATCTGATTGGATGACAGAAAAATGGGCGTGTCTGGAGGGACACATCTGATTGGATGACAGAAAAATGGGCGTGTCTGGAGGGACACATCTGATTGGACACAGAAAAAAATGGCTGAACATTAAAAAAAAAACAAGCCGTTTGTGTTAACCACAGAGATATTATGTTCATGGTGTTAACCGGTTCAACATTAGTGGCGCCAACATCACTTCTCTTTCTGCCTCTCAACACAGAACTTCCGGTTTAATTTCAAAATAAGAGCAACGTAAATAAATAGTGTGGAGGGCTAAATGTTTGCTTTTTAATACCTAGCCATTTCACTAAAAAACTAAATCCGTTTTAGTTGTTGAATAATGTGAAAATAGTTACAATTGATTCATAAATAAAGAAAAATAAAGTACCCACAATAATAATGATACTTCAACTGTCTTTGGGACAAAGGATGTTTCCTTTAACTTCACATTTTCTTCTTCATCTTTTAAATCAGTCGCTGCAGATGAGTGATGTCAGTTTCTGTCAGATTCTGCACCTGGAGCAGGTATTCTGTTTACTGCTTCACCTCCTCAGCTGTCTCACATTTTAAGGGTCACTCCATGTTCCAGCTCCTCTCATGGATCACATCTCAGAGAAGAACTGCTAAAGAGAACATTTTGTTTTGGGCCGTTGTCTCGTCACAGGACTCATGATCTTGAATTGAGACCAGACTTTGTGACAAATAGGAGCAGGTTTCTCTTCAGATGCTTCATGTTTCATTGTACCCAGACCAGACTCACCTGTGTCAGGTGCAGCTACAAGAACTCAAGAGGATCTTCTTGTGTCTGACAGCAGATTTAACGCTGCTTCTTACAAACCTTCAGTTTTAAAAAGAGCTGACGTAACTAAAGAGCAGCAGATACAGCTGCCAATCAGTGTTTGTCCTCTACAAACACCTATCCTCCAGAAACGCCCACTTTTGGTCTGCAGAGAACTCCTTCTCCACCCATAACACGCGCACGCGCATTACATAATGCTGAAGCAGTAAACAAACAAAGCCAGCTTTGAAACTTTAAAGACAAAAATAAAATAAAAAAAGTTAAAAACGACGTGAAACAGAATAAAAGTAGAAACAACAGAAGCTTCTTCTGACGCACAGCTGTGGTTGCGTCATCGCTGCTTTTATTTACACGTTCGTCTCAACCTTCCTGAACCAAACTACACATTAAACTACAGATTAAATTACAGATTAAACTACAGATTAAACCACAGATTAAACCACAGATTAAACCTGATTAGTTTCTGCTCGGTGGCCGCAGCAGCTCGGCGGACACGTTCTTTAGCTGCGCACATCTTAGTTCTCCTGCAGATACTCACAGTTTATTAATAACTCCTGGACTGAAGGTCACCAGAACCAGAACCCGTCCGGACCGGGTCTGCGCAGGTTCTGTTGGATCACAACACACGACCCTCCTGGGTGAAACAGAACCGAGTCTGGAAAAAGTCCCTGAGTTTCCTCTAATTATTTATTAATTTGTTACTTTCGGTTTCGTTTCAGCTTCAACCCGGAAATTAATAAACTTTTTTATTAAAACGTGAGTGTTTGTTGTAAAAACACACAAAATAAAACGTTTTATTTCCCTTTATTACTCCGTGAGACTTCACCCAGACTGTCAGGAAACTAAATATATATATATTTTTTATTTATTTTTTTAAGTTTTATTTACAATATTAATTAATAAGCATATTCATTCATTCAGTCAAGCTTTATTTCTACAAGTAAATCCCATTGAGCCTCGAGGACTCATTTACAAGAGAAACCTGTAAACATAATTAAAAAAACTAAATATCTAAGTTATATCTAAAATCACGACACAATGATTAATTTGTTTTATTTTAATTTTTTTTATTTTCTATTAAAAAAATGATTATTATTATTATTATTACATATGAATGTTTCTGCTCGGTGCCCTGAGGTGACTTCTGTTGTGACTTGGTGCTTCATAAATAAACTGAAGTGAAATTAATAAATGAAGTAATTCAGGAATGAATCAGTTTTTCATATTGATGCTGTTAATAACTCTGTTCAGAGTTCCTGCAGGTCTGAGTGTTTTTATTCACATTTTATCAGTTTTATCTCAATAAACGATCAGTTTGTGTGAAGAAAACTAAATTAATGAGGCAGGTTGGTGGACAAAACTTTAATTAGTGGTTTAAAATTTTTATTTAAAAATCACAACTGAAAATTTTTACCCTCTCTTGTTAATTATTCATAACAAGATCAATTGAATAACTATAAATATATTTTTGGGGAGTTGTATTCTGAAAAGTATTTTTATTTTATTTCCTAAATATTCCACAATGATGTTTTATTTTAACATGAACACTTAAAATTGCTTCATAAGTTTAAATAAGAACCTTTGTGTTTTTTTTATTTTAATTTCTGGTCCTTTAGAATTATTTAAAACAGTTTGTTGAATGATTGCTGCCTCTGGTGGAGTGCTCTCACAGCGCCCTCGTGTGGTCAGACTGAGTCACTGCAGCTGAGGGGAGCTGCATGATGCTGAGAGAAGTTGAAAAGAAACGTGGATTTATTTACCTCATGGAAACATTATAAAGAGGATAAACAAACAACGAGCTTTAACCACAGGAACAAAGCCCATCAGCTAATAAAACTTTAATTAATGGTTTAAAAATGTTGATTTTAAAAATTGCAACATTAAATCATGCCGGCGTATATCAGAATATTTACCTTAAAATTTTATTTCCTAAACGTAATGCAATTATTCTTTATAAATTTAAGTCCTAAATTTTCTTTCCAAGTTTAAATATCCATCTTCGCTTCTATGAGTTTTACTTTAGTCTCAAATGTTGTTTATTATTAATCAGTAATTTATTGAATCGTGTTTTTTGTCTGTGACTTTGTTTTAATTTATCGGATTTTTATTACAGATAAAAGTTAAAAACTCATGAGGCTAACAAGAAAATGTATTTAATAAACAACTATTATTTATTTTTATATGTTTTATTAATTTTCCATCAATGTCAGAATAAACGCAAACACCTAATCTGAAAGACGCTTTTTAATATCGAGCATAAGCGGGTTCTTAAATATTAAATGTGTCAGCAGAACTTGTGTGACCAGCTGTTATTTATACGCAAAAACAGCTGAAGTTACTAAAATCACTGGACAAACTTATCGGCGATATTTGTTTATATATATTTATTTTATAGTTTACCATTAATATTTTCTTTAAATAAAGTAATAATCTGAGCTTTTATAAACAAACTTATTTGAGTATTGTTCTAAACACTTGGAGGAAGTTGCCATTTTTGATGATCTTCACATAATTTTTCTTGTGAGTTCAGACGTACAGTGGAGATTTCTGCAGGACACTTGAGCGCGGTGAGCGCACCGAACCACGACGACGACTTGTTCCGCCGTCACCACCAGGTACAAACTACACCGTCTGACGGCAAGACGCAGAAGTTCAACATTTAGATTTGGACAGTTTGTGCAAACGACACCGGTTTCTGCAGACTTGGCTTCAACATCACAGACTCCTCCTCTTTCGTAAACTTCTTTAGTTCGGGGGAGTTCGTTTTCAGTTTCTCAGTCTGACGGTTTCCTGGCGTCTGGTTCTGTTACTGTCTGACCGCCGGCTGCGACGGCGAGCTGTCGCTGTCGTCCTCCCAGGACGAAGATGCGAACCCCGCGGGGGCAGAGATGGAGTGGGGGGCGGGAGTGTGGCCGAGACCTTGGTAGCGCCCGCTCGATGAAGGGGAGGAGGGCATGGAGGCGGTTGCTGCGGCGACGGTCTCCTGCGAGGCGGCGTTCAGCAGGCCCGTGTGTTCGGTGTGTTCAGGTCGAGCGGCTGCACCGAAGTACATCTTGTTGGGACGTCCCAGGAAAGTCCGGCCTGGGGGGGGAGACATGAGAGGAGATCACACCAAATACATATAAATACATAAATAAACTTTATTTGTACACAGGAACAGGAAATATAAACAACAGCAAAGCGTGTGCACTTCATGTTTCTGTTCTTACAATCTGACCACAAGACTTTGGCTGTTCGTACATCAAAACGTTTAGCTCACGCAGGAGACGGGCGCTAAGACTTTTTCATAGTTTTCATACTTTTTACAATTGTTAACTTTATTTACTAACAATGTCCTTATAGAAATACAAAAAGATCTCTGATCCTTCAAACGTAGATTCATTAGAAATATGCTCCAAATGGGTTCTATGTTTATCTTTTTGTGCTTCTTGTGCTTTTAATTAGCTTTTGGCTAATTGAGCATGGACTTTGTTGTTAGCTTTTGGCTACTTTCAACTTTTAGCAAGATTTCACAACTTTTAGTTTCCAACAAGCCTTCTGTGATATTTAGTCAGTATTTTGTTTCATTTACCTTTTAGCTAATGTTTTGTTGCTTTAAGCTTGCATTTTGCTACTTCAGCTTTCAGCCTTCCTTCGTTTGCTATTTTTAACTTTTAACTAGCCTTTCACTAACTTACTACTTTTACTTGTAGCTAACTTTCTGCTATTTCTAGTTTGCAGTTAGCCTTATGTCGCTTTTAGCTGCATGTTGCTATTTTAGCTCTTAGCTAGCTTTTTGCTACTTAAAGCTTTTAGATATAATTAGCTGCTTTTGACCTATTGTTATACTTGTTGTAGCTTTAACTACTGTTTCAGCTTCTTCTTCTGTGTTTAAAAGCCTCGCTGATCTAAAAACAGATACATCTGGAGCTGAAACTCACCGACGTTGCGAACCTGGTCCGTGACGTCGGCTCGGATATCTGAGAAGTCCCACATCGCCAAAAAACTGTCGAAACACGAGCCCTCCTCGGCTTCCTGGACGGTCAGAAGATCAGAGAAAAGACAATGAAGGAAGTGAACAGACAGACAGACAGGCAGGCAGACAGACAGGCAGACAGACAGGCAGGCAGGCAGGCAGCCAGACAGTCACACAGAGAGACACAGACAGACAGACAGGCAGGCAGGCAGGCAGACAGGCATTCAGGCAGGCAGACAGACAGGCAGGCAGGCAGTCAGACAGAGAGACAGGCAGACAGACAGGCAGTCAGACAGAGAGACAGGCAGACAGACAGACAGGCAGGCAGACAGAGAGACAGACAGACAGGCAGACAGGCAGGCAGACAGACAGGCAGGCAGACAGACAGACAGACAGGCAGTCAGACAGAGAGACAG